ATAATTATGAGAAAGCGCTAAGCCAGTGTGACTGTGTTTCACTTGGAAGGTATATGAGGACGGAGTGAAGGAACCATACCCAACCCAACCACTTGGGCCATCGGGGATCGAACGCCGACCCTACCAGAAGCAAGTAGTAGCTCATCCACTCCAAGTAGAGGATCTAATCCAGTTTAAGATGTCTCATATAATACTATACATCTCTGCCTCTCTTATCTAAATCGTGCGACATCGTAGTATAATATTCTGCTTGCATCCGATTGTCACAATGGCAACAATAACTGTTTTGAAACGTCGTATGCTAATATGGCCAAGGGTGAAGACGTGAATATAATTAGTATAACCAGATGGATCAGCCAATAAGATCAATCAGTTTAATCAATCAATATCACCAGTCATTACAGTAATAATTAAACCCGTCATTGTAGTAAATTATAATTATTAAGGTAATCTTTTAATATAACGACTCAAGAGTCGTCTTCACAACTCGCCCCGCGCCTCGCCGGCGAATTGGTCTGGGGCCAGATTCACGAAGCAGTTACGCAAGCACTTACGAACCTGTACATCTTTTCTCAATCTTTGGCGGCTTTGTTTACAATTATTAAACAGTTAATGAGCTCCGAAGCACCAGGAGGCTGTTTATAACAATAACAACAGTTAATTGACAAGTTTTCATGCTTGTAAACTGTTTAATAAATGTAACCAAAGCCGTCAAAGATTGAGGAAAGATGTGCACGTTCGTAAGTACTTGCGTAACTGCTTCGTGAATCTGGCCCCCTGGTGTCCAGCCCTGGCAGGGGAGGGTGTCCAGCCCTGGCAGGGGAGGGTGTCCAGTCCTGGCAGGGGGTTGATTGACTGCACGCCAATCCTCTACTGTTCGCCCCTGTTTACCCAGCAGTAATTTGGTACCTGGTTGTTAACCGATTGGCGAGCAATGTTCCGTGGACAACTTGTAGAGTAAGACTCACCACGAGCTGTGGGAAGGGGAAACTCTCAGCCTGCTGAACAGGAGTCAGTAATGGTCTATTCACGTAATCACGTGTGTAAAGAGTAGAACTATTGGGTAACTATAATCAGCATCCAGGTGCCTGACAGCTGAGCGGACAGCGCTTCGGATTCGTAGTCATGAGGTTCCCGGTTCGATCCCCGGTGGAGGCGGAGACAAATGGGCAACAAATTCTTTCACCCTGATGCCCCTGTTACCTAACAGTATATAGGTACCTGGGAGTTAAGACAGCTGCTACGGGCTGCTTTCTAGGGGTGTGTAACAAAAAGGAGGCCTGGTCGAGGACTGGGCCGCGGGGATGCTACGCCCCGAAACCATCTCAAGATAACCTCAAGATAGCATAATATATTAACACTACTAATGTCGCCCCTGTGGCTACCAGACCCTTGTGGCGACCACAGAGGTCTGGTAGCTGAACGGACAACACGCAGAACTCGTAATTCTGTGGCCCGGGTTCGATTCCCGGACCAGGCAGAAACAAATGGGTAAAGTTTCTTTTACCCTGATGCCCTTGTTACCTAGTAGTAAATTAGTAGTAAATAGGTACTTGGGAGTTAGTCAGCTGTTACGGAGCTGCTTCCTGGGGGGGGGGGATGTGGGGAAACAAAAATTAGTTAGTAGTTACAGTTGATTGATTGACAGTTGAGAGACGGGGCGAAAGAGCAGAGCTCAACCCCCGCAAGAACAACTAGGTGAATACTAAGTTCGGTATAATTTGTCAAAATAAACTAAGCCACTTGATACAGAGGAACCATATCCTTTTATGTAGTTTCTTTTATGCTTGTGTTCAAGTTCACGTCAACTGAGATAATACAATTCATCCCGTAAAGATAAGAGTAGCTTAGGCTATTTCTTCCCTCCTCATTATATTCTTATTGGTCGCTCATATATAACACAATATATATATATATATATATATATATTACGGGTTATTCATGCCCGTGCTACCTCTTGAGTGGCTTAACCTTCATCAATCAATCAATAACACAATAGTCGCTGTTTCCCAACGATAGAATACTTCATTTCTCATCAGTTCCTTGACCCACCAACTTGGGCTGGACGGTAGAGCGACGGTCTCGCTTCCTGCAGGTCAACGTTCAATCCCCTACTGTCCAAGTGGCTGGGTCCCATTCCTTTCCCCCGTCCCATCCTAAATCCTTGTCCTAATGCCTTCCAAGTGCTATATAGTCTAATGGCTTGGCGCTTTCCCCCTAATAATCCCTCCCCGCCCCGTTTCATCAGGTAAAGGACACTTTGTAAAGTGAATCAGATTCCTTCAGTATAAACTAATTTCTCCATAGTGGCGTCCTGAATGTTACTGTGAAACATTTGAATTAGTAAGTTGTTAGCTTACTTACGGGCTATTCATGCCCGTGCCACCTGTTGGGTGGCTTAATCTTTATCCATCAGTTGTCAGTTATTACCGGACCAGACATTAATTATAAACCAGTGTTGCACACCTCGTAATAAATCAGTGTAGCCATACTTCGTAATAAATTAGCGTTGCTAGTTTGGCTACACTGATTCTCTATACAAATTATAAATAATCGTATTTAAACTCTTTAGGTATTAACGTGTAATCGGCACATTTAGGTATCAGTGTAATCAGCACACCCCAGTCAGTATAGATTAATAGAGTGATTAATAATCACAGCACAGTCATACAGTGCAAATAATGTATAGCCGGACTGAATACAATTCAGGGGTGGCAGAAATTCGCGAATTTATTCAGTTTGTATAAATGTTCAGTATTTGGAGTGAGAGTAGCCAATCAGAGTGAAGAATCAATGTAGTTTATGCGCCGGTGGGAATGGAGCTCGCCTCGCCCACCATCAACACCTAGGCAACCCACGCTCACTAACTGCCATACTCGCCACCCTCACTAACTACCATACTCGCCACCCTCACTAACTACCATACTCGCCACCCCTCACTAACTACCATACTCGCCACCCTCACTAACTACCATACTCGCCACCCTTCACTAACTACCATACTCGCCACCCTTCACTAACTACCGTACTCGCCACCCTCACTAACTACCGTACTCGCCACCCTCACTAACTACCATACTCGCCACCCTCACTAACTACCATACTCGCCACCCTTCACTAACTACCATACTAGCCACCCTCACTAACTACCGTACTCGCCACCCTCACTAACTACCGTACTCGCCACCCTCACTAACTACCGTACTCGCCACCCTCACTAACTACCATACTCGCCACCCTTCACTAACTACCATACTAGCCACCCTCACTAACTACCATACTCGCCACCCTCACTAACTACCATACTCGCCACCCTTCACTAACTACCATACTAGCCACCCTCACTAACTACCATACTCGCCACCCTCACTAACTACCATACTCGCCACCCTCACTAACTACCATACTCGCCACCCTTCACTAACTGCCATACTCGCCACCCTCACTAACTACCATACTCGCCACCCTCACTAACTACCATACTCGCCACCCTCTGCATATACAAAAGTGACTGCTAATCGCTACCATGAGACGCTAATTAACCGCGGTACGGTGCAAACAAAGGATCCCTCCCCCTCCCCCCCCCTCCCCGTATCAGTTTCTACCTCCCCTACCACCCCCAACCCTGCCTCCTCAACCCCCCCTACCCCCTCCCTCCCTACCAATCCTTCCTAACCCCCCCTAACCCCCTTTATGCATAATTCAGTGATGGTTCCCGGCTACCATCCAGTACGATCTTTTTACCGTAGACGAGAGGAAAAAGGATTGGGATATTCAATTTCTTTTAATTAAACTGTGGATCTAGTTAGTCTCCTTGGTGATCCCTGCTTAAGTAAGGGGAAGGGCAGAGGGGGGGGGGATTGGGGGTTGTGGGGGGCCTGTCATGGGAGGGGGGGGTGGCAGGGATTCGGAGCACTGTGGGGGGAGGGGAGGGTAGGGAATTGGGGGGGGGGGGAAGGCCTTTCAACCTAACTAGGGAAGTGAGAAATATGTGAGACAATCGTGTCAGCCTTCATTATATTTACCTTCGGGAGTTGCTTGGGTGGAGGGCTTAAGCTTTAGTCTTTAAATCGTGTTTATTGATTGATAGTTAGTCTGCTGTTTATTATTTTTCAGCTAATGTGACGATGTTTAAGTTATGTGTGTTACTAAGCACGTCACCTCCAGCAGGCGTCTGTTGTGTGTGTGTGTGTGTGTGTGTGTGAGAGAGAGAGAGAGAGAGAGAGAGAGAGAGAGAGAGAGAGAGAGAGAGAGAGAGAGAGAGAGAGAGAGAGAGAGAGAGAGAGAGAGAGAGAGAGAGAAAAGAAAGAATTACGCGAGGGACGTAAACTTGGCCAAATAAAGTGAAGAAATGCGAAAAATCGGTGGTTGAGTTAGCCTGGGGTTATGAGACTATCTTCACGCCGATCACCGCTCGAACCTCGGGACAAGTGACCAGCATTTGAGAGCACTGCGTCCCTTCCCACGCACTCTGGCTTCACCACCCGTCGCCCGCACGCTCACACACCACCCCCACAAGTGATCCTCGAAAACACTTCTCTGCGCTGGTCACCGCGCACGAGACGACCAGGCCAGGGGGAGCAAGGCATACTACAGGCGCTAATGACGCTAGAAGGTATGCAAATGAGTATGTGGAGGACGAGGTTGGCGTGAGGTATCGGAGACGCGGTCCCCCGGCTCCGGAGAGGTGTCGCTAGCCACACCTGCCACCAGATCCAACACACAAGTCTCTCTCTCTCGTCTCTCTCTCTCCTGCCTTCCTCTTCAGGTATTCCTGCAGCCACCTCGCGGGTAATGCAAGTGCGTGGGCAATCCGACTAGTAATGGGTGTCGGTACGCTATGCCGTGTTATTAATGGTAATTAAGGTACCCCCTCCCACTGCGGTACCGACACTGAGGGGCGCATGTAGATGACCGCCGTAGACTTGTCCCTCGCCTACCTGCTGATTACACTGCCTTCACGACACGTAGGGTCCTGCTGTGATGGGGCCACCTTGTACCTGCTGCTGCTGCTGCTGCTGCTGCTGCTGCTGCGGCGTTTGCTGGCACGGCATCTGCTGTTGGGTCGCCATTTGTGACGTCTGCTGGGGTACCTGCTGCCCGCCCTGCTGCGCGCTGTAATTACAACACAAGGTTAGGGGGGATGTCGAAAAAAGGTTGACACACGCACGCAAACACTCGCAAACATACACACACACACACACACACACACACACACACACACACACACACACACACACACACACACACACACAGTGTCAGAGTTTTTCAGTGTCAGAGTAGTTAACGGATGGAATGCATTAGGCAGTGATGTGGTGGAGGCTGACTCCATACACAGTTTCAAATGTAGATATGATAGAGCCCTGTAGGCTCAGGAATCTGTACACCAGTTGATTGACAGTTGAGAGGCTTAAAGAGCCAAAGCTCAACCCCCGCAAGCACAAATAGGTGAGTACACACACATACAATAATAATAATAATAATAATAATTACAACACACATGTAGTGGTGTTGTGAGTCAATAAGAAGCGCCAGATGCTGTTGTTGTTGTTTAAGATTCAGCTACTCGGAACAAAAGTTGCAAGTAGCACGGGCTATGGTGAGCCCGTAGTGGACTGACCTGGCACAGGAGCGGGGTTGTGACTGAGGCTCCAGATGCAAGAGTTGCCTGTACCAAAGCTTGGCTAAATATAATCATACAAACAATAATAATAACGAATAATAACATGATGATGATAAGAATTGAAGAGAAAAGCTACTTGACACCCTGGGGAAGGATCTTTATTGTGCAAAAATTCAAAGAAACTTGATGAAGGAGAGGCAGGATGAACGAAAAAGACTGGATCTACTGTTCAACAACTCGAATATGACAATAACTGAGGCTGAATATTAGTCTTATGGAGAATGAAGAAGTATGGGAAGAACTTAATGAAAGTTTCAACTTTTTCGATACTGAAACAGAAGGGTTGGTGAATATTTCATGGGAAGGAGCCCAATCATAAATCTAGCCAACATTATGTAACTAAGGAGTTGAGTGTAAACATTACCAGGGACACGAAGAGAAGCGGTGAGCTCATATACTAACCATTAACGAAATGACTACAATACCATACTAGAGAGCGGAGTACTAGCCATCATATGGCTAGTACTCATATAGTACTAGCCATCATATGCACAGTGGCAAACGCATATCAATATTTAACAATGGAAGCTAGCTGAGGTGACCAAGCAAGAGGCCAGTACCACTGTCATCTATACCCAACCACTTGCATCACCCAAGACCGAACAGGAAGTGAAATAAACATAAGAACAGTCTTCAAGAATCTAAAAAGAAAGCACATAGAACATTATTCACCACCTACTTGAAGTCAGTACCAGAGAATGCGGTATCAGCATGGATCCCACCCTCAAAAACCATAAAAGGACTAGACAGATCTTGAGTCACTATAACTAGTATTAAGACACCGGGAAAAAGAAATACACTGGTGGAATTAAACAGCAAAGAGCTCTAGCCAGAGAGAACCTGATCACAACTTACAAAATACTCACTCAAACTAAACAAAACTAAACTTCGTAGTATCCGACATATGTGACAACTGGAAGCACAGTCATAAGACAACATTCCATGTTCGAGGTGAGAATATGAGGATTTTCACTACATGCGTCACAGTCGCTGGTGTCGCAGTGGTAGCACAGTCGCCTGCGCTTCGCATGTGATTTGGCCTAGGTTCGTATCCTGGCCGGGATGAATGGACTATCCTCCAATCCTTAACAGTTCGCCTCTGTTTACCCAGCAGTAATTGAGTGCCTGGTTGTTAACCCATGTGAGTCGTGTTCCAGGGGAACTAGTACGTAAGGCTTACCATGAGCTAAGGGAAGGAAAAGCTCTCAGCCTGACTCAACAGGAATCAGAAGTCGTCTGTTACTGTACCCACCTGTGTTAAAAAAAAAGCGCACCTTCAACTACAGAAAGACTAAAACATTCAAACACCTTTAGAGAGCTATAATGCTCTCTAAAGGCAGGAGCTGAAGTTCACCTCCTCGCAAGTACAAATAGGTGAATACACACGTCCACACAATTTGTTATGTACCGCCTGACTCACACATGACTCATAATGTGCCGTTTAATTCATTAACTAATTCATTGACATTACTCATACAAATCGGAGTGGTTCGCTCCCTAGCTTAGAGACTCACAGTGATCTCACTGGTCAACTACCTCACAGAGCTGACAGTGATCTCACTGGTCAGCTACCTCACAAAGCTGACAGTGATCTCACTGGTCAACTGCCTGTCTCACAAAGCTGACAGTGATCTCACTGGTCAACTGCCTCACAGAGCTGACAGTGATCTCACTGGTCAACTACCTCACAGAGTGACAGTGATCTCACTGGTCAACTGCCTGTCTCACAAAGCTGACAGTGATCTCACTGGTCAACTGCCTGTCTCACAAAGCTGACAGTGATCTCACTGGTCAACTACCTCACAGAGTGACAGTGATCTCACTGGTCAACTACCTCAATGATCCGACCGTCTTATTTTTGGGATGTTTTTTATCTCAATCAACTTGAACTTGATGTGACCACTCAAGTACCTGCCTATCTCCCTCCCATCATCTCAGAAGGAGTGTTTTGGACGTTATGTCTATTTGTTGTTGTTCTTAATTATTCTGTTCTACGTATAACAGTAGAAACCGAGCCTATTGGTTTGTCATAAGAATATCCACTCCTTTGGGATTACCTGTATGGCTTATGTGAGAGTCCGGGACAAGAAGATGAGATTAGCTTATGCGATTCCTTACTGGAAGTCCAGTAAGACAAGGCCATGATAACAGCCTTAAGGTTTCCTTACCGAGAGTCCGAGTTAAGGACAGGAACGCATCCCCTTTGACCCTTGTTTAAGAATTAGGCGAGCCAATCGGTAAGCCCTAAGAGCATCAATGGACACAAATACCGTAGAGCGAACTTACTTCTTATAGACGGGCGTGAAGGCGGTGTTGGGGATGGAGGTGGCGGTGTTGGTGTGGGTGGCGCCGTGGGAGCCCCCGCCCTGGTACCTCTGGTGGATGGAGGAGTCGCCGACCGATGCGCCGCCCACGCCCGGAGCCGGAAGCGGAGCCGTGGAACCGCGCGAACAGGAGGACAGTCCGCCGCTGCTCATGCTGCCGCCGTAGCTACCAGAGCTGGAGGAACCCCCAAGGAAGCCAGCTGACCCTCCTAGCAGACCTGCTCCTTGACCTTGCTGACCCTGCTTCACGTTGGGGGGCGTCTGGGGTGGGGTGTCGGTGCCTACTCCGTCACTGTGGCAGCAAGAGAGACATGAGCGGCACTCATTAACTAGCAGTGGTGAAAAATGCAACTTATACAATATACCTGGTGTAATAATAGCTACATTTTCTATGGTTATTGGTCTTAAGAGATGTTCTGAGCTGAGCAAATATTAGGTGTGCGATATATAGTACATAGTGTGGGAGATGGAAAAGCGGTGTGTGTACTCACCTAGTTGTGCTTGCGGGGGTTGAGCTCTGGCTCTTTGGTCCCGCCTCTCAACTGTCAATCAACTGGTGTACTGATTCCTGAGCCTACTGGGCTCTATTGTATCTACATTTGAAACTGTGTATGGAGTCTGCCTCCACCAAATCACTACTTAATGCATTTCATCTGTTAACTACTCTGACACTGAAAGAATTCTTTCTAACGTCTCTGTTGCTCATCTGGGTGCTAAGTTTCCACCTGTGTCTCCTTGTTCATGTTCCACCCGTGCTAAAGAGTTTGTCTTTGTCCACCCTGTCAGTTCCTCTGAGAATTTTGTAGGTGGTTATCATGTCTCCCCTTACTCTTCTGTTTTTCAGGGATGTGAGGTTCAGCTCCTTTAGCCTTTCCTCGTAGCTCATACCTCTCAGTTCCGGGACTAGTCTGGTGGCATACCTCTGACTCTTCTGTAAGTTTGTCTTGTGTTTAACTAGGTATGGACTCCAGGCTGGAGCTGCATACTCCAGGATTGGTCTTACATAAGTGGTATACAGGGTCCTGAACGATTCCTTACACAAGTCTTCAATATAAGAGTAATGAGCAAGTGTAATGAGCTGAAAAGTGAAAGTAATTGAGGGTAAATTCACACGCAGTCTGAAGAGAAGATATGGTAAGTAGCACGATGGTTGTCAGCCATTGCAATAGGCGACCGACGATTGAAAGTTTGACACAGGAGATAAAAGCTCACCTTGCAAGCTCTCGTAGGCTTAAAAATGAGTATATATATATATATATATATATATATATATATATATATATATATATATATATATATATATATATATATATATGTATGTCGTACCTAGTAGCCAGAACGCACTTCTCAGCCTACTATGCAAGGCCCGATTTGCCTAATAAGCCAAGTTTTCATGAATTAATACATTTTCTCTTATTTTTTTCTTATGAAATGATAAAGCTACCCATTTCATTATGTATGAGGTCAATTTTTTTTTATTGGAGTTAAAATTAACGTAGATATATGACCGAACCTAGATATATGAACCAACCCTACCTAACCTAACCTAACGTATCTTTAAAGGTTAGGTTACGATAGGTAGCCGAAAAAGTTAGGTTAGGTTAGGTTAGGTAGGTTAGGTAGTCGAAAAAACATTAATTCATGAAAACTTGGCTTATTAGGCAAATCGGGCCTTGCATAGTAGGCTGAGAAGTGCGTTCTGGCTACTAGGTACGACATATATATATATATATATATATATATATATATATATATATATATATATATATATATATATATATATATATATATATATATACTCCCTTCCCGTGTATTGAAAAAAAAAAAAATATATATATATATATATATATATATATATATATATATATATATATATATATATATATATATATATATATATATATACATATGAGAGAGTACACACACCTGTATCCAGCCATATACTGGGCTGTGTTGACTCCAGCCATGAGGTGTGTGAAGCGGGCGCTGTGCGGGTACTGCTGTTGGGCGGGCGGGATTGTAGGCGGAAGAGGGAAGGTGGTGCCGCCCGCAAGCCACCCGCTGCCGGGCGCGCCGCCCACACCTCCCGTGGGCGGCGGAGTCTTGCATGCTGCTGTGTCAGCCAGGGACCAGATCTTGGGCTTTGCTGAAGGCAGCGACACGGCGCAGTCACTCTGACACGGAGAGGGATCACATGATATATTAGCGTACGAGCTTAGTTTAGGTTAATGGGCTACATTACCGGGATGTACTCACTTAAATATTTGTTATTTATAATATTTTTTTCCGTTGAATTATTTGGATGCGTAAAATATTGTAGTCAAATGCTATGTTTCGTTCTAACGGGTTCAATAAGGGCTAGGATACTGGCAAGTCAGACTTTATGCAACTTATACTGAAATCTTCTTGATCTTTTCTGGTACCTATACTGTGCGTTGTGAAGTGTGTTAAGTGCACTCACAGCTGGAGGTTGCACTCAAACATTTGGAGTGTGTAAGTTGCGAGGTGTGGTTTTTTTTTCACTACCGCGCTTACTCCCTTAAAACACTTGCACTCTCATACTTAAATGTTCACATTTGCAAGTAAACTCACATTTAAATTATTACATTTACTTAATAATAGTTACATAACAACCAAGTTATTTTGAAGCGGGGATAACTATCTTAGGCCTCACAAAAGTACAGATCATAGTTCTAAACTCGCGTTATCTTTTCCCCATTCATTCTAACTTTGTGTTTAAATTACAATTTTCATTACGGATGGCGTTATTGAATGTCTTGATAAAGCGTGTTTATAAAACACATTTCTCAAAATTAACACCATAAATTATTATGTAAATAAATGAGGTTAATACTGAACACAAAATTACCACCCAAAAACTGCAGGTACATTTATTTCTTTATCGATTTATATTTTGATATTTGTTTGATCAATAAACATTGACAGCATTTTTCAATTATATTTATAACAGCATTAGTTAAGACGAGGACTACAACAGCACTGTGGAATCAGCATGAGATAACAGCGGTCTTAGGACCATGTAAATTATCAACAAGAAAACTCTTAAAGCTTCCAGACTCATCCCAAAGTAATCAAAATTATTGTGTTAAGATATATTCATTCCTTACAAAGTTTAAAAAAAATCAAGGAAACCGAATTATTAAATTTGATTAATTTAATTTAAAAAGTTAAAAAAAACGACAAATAGCCTAAAGAAAAGGGTGGGTATGGGATCAATATTACTCCAGTCACACGGTAACGATGAGAGCTGGGTCAATACCTACCATTAGGCTCACCTTCTCGCCCTTGGGTACTGTGAAGGGGTTGGAGGAGTGGAGGGTGGGCGTGGGGGAGATGGTGGGGTGGAGTGTGGGTGCGGGGGAGATAGCAGCTGTCACCGCCTTGCTGTTGGCCACCACCCCTCCCTCACACGACTTGAGCTCCGTCTGTCCCTCACTCTCCTCCACCTTCGTCTCCACCACTGTTGGAGACGCACACGGTGTTAGTATTATTATTATTATTATTATTATTATTATTATTATTATTATTATTATTATTATGATTATTACAGGAGCATTATAACGGGTGGTTATCGTGTAATAAGCGAGGGTGTAGGTGGAAGGTGTATTTAGTTTAACAGACACTATATACAGGCTGTATGAATGTTGTATGTTATCTACACCAGATCTATGGCCCCTTGCTCCATAGGTGCTCTCGTGTACGCGCTTTCAGAGAGTAGATGGTATGCAGAGCCGATAGATACACTTATACGTAACACTGATGTAAATAATGGTTTATAAATATTTTTCAATAAATATAATATTTATATTCGAATTATAGATGAGATCTCCAATGTTTGATTTCATTATTTGTTCGACATGTTATCATCTGATGCGTCTTTACCTAGCAGTAAATAGGTAAGGCAGCGTATCTGGGATGCTCTTGGACGCAAGTTCGAATCCTCGTCACGGCCCTTGTGGATTTGTTCATTAGGTAACTGGGAATTAGGCAGCTGTTCAAGACCTAAGGGAGGGGGGGGGGGAGGGGAACCTCGAAGTGCCTAAGTACAGGTTTAATTCCTGTCCTCGATTTCGCGAATTAATAATCTCGGTGTTTTCTACTAATATGTAGAGTGATAGAGTGTGGCGGTGGATGTGTGTAGAGTCAGTTACAGCCCCGCTCCTCTGGCAGGTACAAGTCCACTATGGGCTCACCATAGCCTAATATACTGCAAGATATCCAGGAGTGCGCTGCCTCCAACTGGTTAAGTGACTCTGCACATTTTAGTGCTACGGGCGGTAGGCTTAAGTATTGTGTTATAATTATGGAAGGAGTGTATAAAGTGGCATTTGTTCAGTTATCTTTACAGGGGGTTATCTTCAGACTTATTACTCATGCGGTTATTTAGGTTCCCGCCTGAATAGGAATGTATTTATCTCCCAGAAGACAGAAGACACTCATCACGCTACAACTGAATCATTCTCACAATCGACTTGTGAATGGTCCAGGACGGACCGAAACGTCGTCGTCCCTTCACCTTCTAGTGTGTGGTCTGGTCAACGCTACGACTGACGTCTGTTTGGGCTAAGTCGACCAGTGTGAACGCGAGCATTGTTAGTGTCAAGCTAACGTCGCGGGTGGAGAGAAGACGTCATGTTTTGGGGCCCAGTAACTCGAGCAACGAACTCAAGTTTGCGCGGGAAACTCACCATTCTGCTTCAGCCATTGCTAGGATCTGGAGCAGTCGTCAAGCACGATAACGATCAACAGAGATGTCCGAATCAGTTCAAGAAATGCCAAAGGGAATACTTGAGTGTCCAATAGCCGCACTGATAACATATTTATGGGGGAGAGTGGACTTACAAGTTAAGGTTGAATACCCAATAGAGTTAAGACCATACGCGTGTGATATCAAATACAAGAGGTTCAAGAAGGCTGTAGGATTAAAATACACTGTATAATAACTTTATGTTGAGACAAGAGTTATGTATTTTAGTGCTTGTCTTATGCATTATTGTGTGTGTGAAAGAGAGAGAGAGAGAGAGAGAGAGAGAGAGAGAGAGAGAGAGAGAGAGAGAGAGAGAGAGAGAGAGAGACAGAGGGTCAACCATCCCATGATGGAGCAGGTGAACATATGCATGAGGCTCTGAAATGGTGATCCAGCGAGACTGGCTTGTTGTGTCCCCGTGACTTATACACACCTAAACAAAATATTTTACCAGCTTACTGTGTCATGTAAACGTTTAATTAAGTAATGAATTATGAACAGGGATTTTTATATGGCCTCCACAGCACTCTCTCTCTCTCTCTCTCTCTCTCTCTCTCTCTCTCTCTCTCTCTCTCTCTCTCTCTCTCTCTCTCTCTCTCTCTCTCTCTCTCTCTCTCTCTCTCTCTCTCTCTCTCTCTCTCTCTCTCTCTCTCTCTCTCTCTCTCTCTCTCTCTCTCTCTCTCTCTCTCTCTCTCTCTCTCTCTCTCCACATACATTATCAATTTTACTTTTGCATATATTTGGAAGCCGTCGTATTAAAAATGTTGTCGCTTAGGAAGCTTTTGCTTTAAAATTGTAAACCTTTTCTTTCGTGAAAACGTACATGTATCTGTTTATTTTGTCAGATGCTCACTACCAGCTCCTGTTGTTGTCACTAACAGCTGTTGTGCTCACTAACGGCAGCTGTAGCCACTGAATAAGCTGCCGGTGGTCCATTTATTGATTCTTGAGTTCACTACAATACCTCTGCGCTTAGTTTAGAAGCAATTTTTTTCATTTTATCATTGCTTTCACTCAATTCTCTAATTTGTGTAACTAACGGAGATAATTTAACATCTGTAACATTTTCGTTAACAACAATTGCCACGTTTATTGACCATTAATGCGTTCGGCAGTAGACTTAAGTGTTTTCTTTAAGTTTTCTCTGATTTTAACAACGGTAGTGCTATCCGTGTCCCGTTGCGTTCACTCTGAACCTTTCTAGCTCATGTAACCAGGTGTTATGTCCATGAAGAACCTCGGCGTTCAGTTAGCCCATGAGTTCACTAACGGAGGCAGGGGTTCAGTTACCCTGGAAACACAAACCGAAACTGTCTCTATTTTCCGCTTGTTACAACTTGTAATAAAGTTGTTACATCTTGGCTTAACGTGTTTATGATGTATTAGAACGTTGTTACAACTTGCTATATTGGTTGTTATAACTGGTTAGGAGGTGTTAAAACTTGTTCGAACGTTGTACCAACGTCGTAGTTTCGGTGTGTGTTTGGCGGGTAGTTAACAATCGGTTGATAACAATTGGTTAATTAACCTTGATCGCAGGTTTGAGTCACCTCAAATCATCCCCCAGGGTCTAAATCCCGGGACCGAGTCACCTCAAATCATCCCCCAGGGTGTAAATCGCGGGACCGAGTCACCTCAAATCATCCCCCAGGGTGTAAATCCCGGGACCGAGTCACCTCAAATCATCCCCCAGGGTCTAAATCCCGGGACCGAGTCACCTCAAATCATCCCCCAGGGTCTAAATCGCGGGACCGAGTCACCTCAAATCATCCCCCAGGGTGTAAATCGCGGGACCGAGTCACCTCGTTGTTCCAAATGATTTTCCACCTTCATTTTGACAGACTGGTATGACTGCTTCAGTAGCTGCTCCATGTCTTCAAATCTCCATATTGAAATGACTTTTTCTTTGTTGGGAGAGTCGTGTCTAAGCATTCCTGTACATATACATTTTTTTTTTCTGTCGTGTCGTCTGCGTTCTCTTTCTCAGTTGGTCGTCTTTCTGATCTTCCGCGAAGGAACACGTTTCAAGCAGACGATGTTCGGCAGCCAATTGTTCTACTCCTTGTGTGGGAGTTCTGTTACTTAATACGGCTTCCCCATTGGATGTTGGCAAGTTGTAAGCTTATTTTTCTCCCAGTCAATCCTCTTGTTGTTTAAACTGCCATTTATTGAATAACACTTCTCGCTTGATGATCTTTTGGGGGAAATATTGCGAATATTGATGTTAGTGAATACTTCAATGAGCTTGTGATCTATGTGGTATCTGAGAGTGTAGTGGCTGTGATATACTAAGTGAGGGGACACGAGAATATACTAAAAGTTGGGACATGAGGATATGCTAAGAGCTTAGGATACGAGAACATACTAAGATCTAGGACACGAGAATATACTAAGAGTTGGGACACGAGAACATACTAAGAGCTTGGACACGCGAACATACTAAGAGCTAGGACACGAGAACATACTAAGAGCTAGGACACGAGAACATACTAAGAGCTAGGACACGAGAATATACTAAGAGTTGGGACACGAGAACATACTAAGAGCTAGGACACGAGAACATACTAAGAGCTGGGACACGAGAACATACTAAGAGCTGGGACACGATGACATACTAAGAGCTAGGACACGAGAACATACTAAGAGCTGGGACACGAGAACATACTAAGAGCTGGGACACGAGAACATACTAAGAGCTGGGATACGAGGACATACTAAGAGCTAGGACACGAGAACATACTAAGAGCTGGGACACGAGAACATACTAAGAGCTGGGACACGAGGACATACTAAGAGCTGGGATACGAGGACATACTAAGAGCTGGGACACGAGGACATACTAAGAGCTGGGATACGAGGACATACTAAGAGCTGGGACACGAGAACATACTAAGAGCTGGGATACGAGGACATACTAAGAGCTGGGATACGAGGACATACTAAGAGCTGGGATACGAGGACATACTAAGAGCTAGGACACGAGAACATACTAAGAGCTGGGACACGAGAACATACTAAGAGCTGGGACACGAGAACATACTAAGAGCTGGGACACGAGGACATACTAAGAGCTGGGACACGAGGACCTACTAAGACCTGAGACACAAGGATAGCGCGAGGAACGGTATCCAACCACTTAGTCTAGTCTTAGTCTTAGTAGATAGTCTTAGACTATCGGGGGATAGAGAGCACGAGGCTGCACGGCGCGAGACCGCCGCTGCACTGACCAGTGGACCGGTCAGCGCGGGAAATCATGTCCGCCATTTTGTAGTGAAGTATGATTACGTCACTGGCTAATACACAGTGGTATCTTGATTCTCGCTCCATGATTGGTGGTTCAATTCCTCTGGTGATGTAAGATTATTCCCCCCCCCCCCACCGTCAGTCATACTAACTGCTATATGTGTGTGACTGTTGCCATGGAAACCATCTTATTGCGCCAACGATAAAGACATATTTACACCCAGGGTTGTTTATTTATCAGTTTATGAGCTCAGGGGCGCTACTGTTATTATTAACAATAATAACCTTTGGTTGTGAAGGATCTTAAGGCTCTAAAACCGTTTAGTTAATGTAAACAAAGCCGTCATGGTGTTTTTTTTTTTTTAAAGATGTACAGGTTCCGTGATGACTCCTGGACCTGATTGTTATTATTATTACTAGGTTCATCTGGTGTAACTTGTATATGTTGCTTATTGTGCAAGACATTAACTATGTCAACCCTGGATATAAATATATGGTAACTGTGGATATATATATGGTAACACCACAATGAAAGGCTTGTGGACCCGGGTCCACTACAATGAAAGGCTTGTGGACCCAGGTCCACCACAATGAAAGGCTTGTGGACCCGGGTCCACCACAATGAAAGGCTTGTGGACCCAGGTCCACCACAATGAAAGGCTTGTGGACCCGGGTCCACTACAATGAAAGGCTTGTGGACCCGGGTCCACCACAATGAAAGGCTTGTGGACCCGGGTCCACTACAATGAAAGACTTGTGGACCCGGGTCCATTACAATCAAAGGCTTGTGGACCCGGGTCCACTACAATGAAAGGCTTGTGGACACGGGTCCACTACAATGAAAGGCTTGTGGACCCGAGTCCACCACAATGAAAGGCTTGTGGACCTGAGTCCACCACAATGAAAGGCTTGTGGACCCGGGTCCACTACAATGAAAGGCTTGTGGACCCGAGTCCACCACAATGAAAGGCTTGTGGACCCGAGTCCTCCACAATGAAAGGCTTGTGGACCCGAGTCCTCCACAATGAAAGGCTTGTGGACCCGAGTCCTCCACAATGAAAGGCTTGTGGACCCGAGTCCACCACAATGAAAGGCTTGTGGACCCGAGTCCACCACAATGAAAGGCTTGTGGACCCGAGTCCTCCACAATGAAAGGCTTGTGGACCCGAGTCCACCACAATGAAAGGCTTGTGGACTCGAGTCCTCCACAATGAAAGGCTTGTGGACACGGGTCCACTACAATGAAAGGCTTGTGGACCCGGGTCCACTACAATGAAAGGCTTGTGGACCCGAGTCCACCACAATGAAAGGCTTGTGGACCCGAGTCCTCCACAATGAAAGGCTTGTGGACCCGAGTCCTCCACAATGAAAGGCTTGTGGACCCGAGTCCTCCACAATGAAAGGCTTGTGGACCCGAGTCCACCACAATGAAAGGCTTGTGGACCCGAGTCCACCACAATGAAAGGCTTGTGGACCCGAGTCCTCCACAATGAAAGGCTTGTGGACCCGAGTCCACCACAATGAAAGGCTTGTGGACCCGAGTCCTCCACAATGAAAGGCTTGTGGACCCGAGTCCTCCACAATGAAAGGCTTGTGGACCCGAGTCCACCACAATGAAAGGCTTGTGGACCCGGGTCCACCACAATGAAAGGCTTGTGGACCCGAGTCCTCCACAATGAAAGGCTTGTGGACCCGAGTCCTCCACAATGAAAGGCTTGTGGACCCGAGTCCACCACAATGAAAGGCTTGTGGACCCGGGTCCACCACAATGAAAGGCTTGTGGACCCGAGTCCTCCACAATGAAAGGCTTGTGGACCCGAGTCCTCCACAATGTAACCACAAAATAAGGCAACCGATGTGTGAATCTTTGCAGTAAATGATTTTCTCTGTTGCTCTTTGGTACACCTTGGAAGCCTGGTCGACGACCGGGCCGCGGGGACACTAAGCCCCGGAAGCACCTCAAGGTAGGTAGCCTCAAGGTATCCCATCCTAATCTAATGGAACCTAGCCTCACCTAACGAAAATAAAGAACGAACATATTGGGTTATATATTATGGCATGGACGAGGTGTGTATAATACTGCTCCACAAATTTGCAACCTTCTATTCCCATTTATTTCTTACGTATACGAATGATGAAAGTATAGGAAGAGTTAATATAGTTATAGTAAGAGTTAATATAGTATAGTTAATAATAGGCAGTTAAATTGTGCATAAGTCTGTCACACGCAGCTAGTTCTGAAATTGTTAAGAGTTGTATTCACCTAGTTGTATTCACCTAGTTGTGTTCACCTAGTTGTATTCACCTAGTTGTGTTTGCGCGGGTTGAGCTCTGGCTCTTTCGGCCCGCCTCTCAACTGTTAATCAACTGTTTACTAACTACTTTTTTTTTTCTCCACGCCACACACACCAGGAAGCAGCCCGTGACAGCTGACTAACTCCAAGGTACCTATTTACTGCTAGGTAACAGGGGCGTTAAGGGTGAAAGAAACTGCCCATTTGTTTCTGCCTCGTGTCCTGCGTGCGATCCACCAGGCTACGAGGCCCCCTCAACTATGTTCATTATAAGAAAATATTAAAAGCTTAAGAACATTGGTAATTGGTAATATCTGCTTGACGAGGACGTTTAACATTATTCACTATGTAACTATTCATGAGTTAGAAACAGGTAAAATGTGATCGGTATCTAAGAAACAGTGTAATTGGCATCTAAGAAACAAGTACAGTCTGATCAGTATTTAAGAAACAGGTAGTGTGTGAAGCCTATTTTATTGTTCATTTTATCTTAGTGTTTAAGGGAGGAATATACACACACCTGGCGGGGGGGGGGGGGAGGCCTCGCGGCTGAGTGGACAGCGCTTTGGGGTCATATTCCTAAGGGCCCGGGTTCGATTCCCGGCCGAGGCCGAAACAAATTCTTTGCTCCTGTTCACCTAGCAGTAAATAGATACCTGGGAGCTAGACAGCTGCTACGGGCTGCCTCCTGGGAATGTGTGTGTGTTAAGAGAGAAATATATGTAGTAGACATAATAGAGGAAAAATAGATTGGTTAGAAAGGCGGGGTCCAAGAAATAATAGCTCGATTTTGCAGGCACAAATAGTAAATACACCAAAGAGCCAAAGCTCAACCCCCGCAAGCACAACTAGGTGAGTACACACACACACACACACACACACACACACACACACACACACACACACACACACACACACACACAAACAAAAGAGGTGGGACCCTTGAGCTACATCTCATCCCCCTGGGTTCGTCGTAGACACACGCGGGTTTTTACAGTGTCCGTCACCAGTGGTGTTGAAGGGCTGACCCGCGCTTGTTACCACACACCTCCGGCCACAACTTTTGGTCCGGCAGGAAGGACATACGCTGTGGTTTGTCTGAGTTATCCCACTAGATATCTCAAGGAATAATAGGTGTGTGTGTGTGCGTGTGTGCGTGCGTGTGTGTGTGTGTGTGTGTGTGTGTGTGTGTGTGTGTGTGTGTGTGTGTGTGTGTGTGTGCGTGTGTGCGTGTGTGCGTGTGTGTGTGTGTGTGGGCGTGAGGGGAGGTCGTCGTAACACAAGCTATGGAGAAAGACAGTCAAAACACAACTCAATCCTTCCGTGTTGACGGACGAGGCTAATCTGTCGCGCTCTCCCTCTTTGCATCGTTCTTCCTGCTTCTTGCTCTCTTAC